AGAAAAGGACGGTGATCACAGTGGTGTAAAAATTGTATCAAACGAGAGCCGGAAAGGGCCTCATCGGAGGCAAAAATCGAGAGAAGTCGCGGTGGTGCTGCTGGACTTCGGCAGTATTTTTCGGCCGATTGGCCGATTGTTTGGCTCTGATTTAGCTATAGACGGATTCAGCATCGAAAAATGGAGAAATTTTACCTCGTTTGATAGTCGGAAAACCCTCCGGTGCGGTGGCGGGTGGCGGCGGTCGGCTCCTCCAGCGTCTGGTTCTTCTTCTTTGGGGAGGCACTGGCGGCTAGGGTTTGGGGTCGAGTGTGGGTGAAGTTATTTATAACCTTTCCCTTTTAGTCTCAGCCGTCCATCACGTTTTAATCTGGGTCATCCGATCGCGATTAACATGGGAATAAATTTGGACCGTCTATCGAGATGCGATCTGGGCCGTTCGTGCGCGTGAGATCTGGGTCGTCCGCACGCGTGAGATATGGGTCGTCCGTGTGCGTGAAATCTAGGTCGTCCGCATGCGTGAGATCTGGACCGTTCGATCGAGTGCACGCGGATCGCTCACGTGGCTAGCTCCATTCGCGTGGTCTTCCGTGTCAGCTTCCTTGCCACGCAGCGTGTTTTGGTTGGCTGTGGCCGCTGACTGGGCTGCTAACGTGGCTGCTGACGTGGTGTAACTTTTTTAAATTGTATTTTGACCTCCGGTTTCTGATTTTCTTTTCAAAAACACCCCAGAATCCAAAATTTCATCCTTTTTTTTCCAAAATCAATTTCAATTAAATCCCAAAAATAATTTTACCCTATTTTATCATTATTATTAGTTTTATTTCTATTAAATTAAATTAAATTAAGTTAAACACATAATTATTACAAAATAAATTAACCATTAAATAAAATAAAATAAAAAAAGGTTCCAATATCCAAAAATAAAAAAAAAATTATTTTTGGGGTGTTACATATCTACCCTCGCCAGAGAAGAAGAACCAAATGCCAGAGAATGAGATCGACCACCGGCCGCCGCCACACGGGAG